TTCCGGTTCAGGATGGCACAGAACAATCCTACTGGACCAGCATTTCAGGAGAACCCATGAGACTTTCTGACCGCCTAGAGGAATCTTGAGCAAGGCTGGGAGAAAGCTCCTGTTTGCCCCCACCACGCACCAAGAAAGGGCATTGTGCTAGTTGCTCTGACCAATAGTGCGGACAGTGGCTTCACAGTGCTGGGGTGAACTCTGCCCTCCCCTGTGAGCAGGACACCTGGACAGACACCCTTTTATCTCAGTGATGATTTAGATACCTTGGCTCTTTCTCTTGTTGCCCCACCATCCCTTGGGGACTCATAAAAATCTATATCTATTTGCCAAATGTGCATCACTAGCCAGAGTGAGATGTTCCATTGATGAGAACTTTCCACACTGTTACAATAGAAATTTAGTACTGGGCAGCATCTCTACCTCAACCAGTCCACTCTGTGGGAAAGCAAGCCGGAAGGGGTTTGGGTACGCAAAGCACCCTGCTCCATGACACCAGGCCTGGACTGTATTTATGGTCTTATGAAGATGAAGGAAGATGTCCAGCTCTTCACAGCCACAATCAAAACAAGCAGAAACTATAAGAAGCAAATTCTAAAGTCAGATCATCTGTGTTTATAGCCAACTTTCTCCTTCCCTGGCCACCACAGTACTGTTCGGGCTGCCTAATCCCTCAGATCATTCACTGTGAATACATTCACTGTGAATCATCACTCAGATCATTCAGGATGAATAAAGAATGACTGGGCTGACCACACAAGCCACACCGTACCAATGCTGAGCCTCTTTCACTCTCGCTGCAGCTCTCCTGGCTTGTAGAGATGGGGAAACTGAGGCACAGAAGGCTTAAGTCAGCTGTGCTTACTGCACAGGTTTAATGGACGGACCATGGTTCATCGTTGTACTCATCTTAGGCACTAGTCACGTCCAGAGTCTCTGGGAAGAGGGATGAGACAACAAACAGAAGCCAAGGTCCTGAGGCTGGGGCATGACTCAGGGGTAGGAGTACTTGCCTAACGTGTAGAGGTTCCATCCTTGAACCTGAAAAGGAAAGAAAAGAATGAACTTTGAGTAATGAGTGAGTACTCAGTATATTTACATGTGCATTAAAAAAAGATTTGTTATATTTTATGTGTATGAGTGCTTTGACTGAATGTATGTAAATGTACCACACGCATGTCTGGTACCCATAGAGACCAGAAGAGGGTATTGGATCCCCTAGAACTGGAGCTATGAACAGTTGTAAGCTGCTATATGGATGCTGGGAATCAAACTTGAGTCTTCCACAACAGCACAAGTGCTCTTACCACTGGGCCCTCCAGCCCTTATTTACCCCATTGTTTATTTGTGCTCCTGCTCGCTTGTTACCATGCCTGACAGGCACATGGCTGGAATCATTGTTTTGCGTTCATGTGGCAGTGTTGAAAAAATTTTCTAAGCCTGTTCTCCACAGATGATCCTCAAAACAGGGGTTCTTAGGTCAGCAAATAGACTTGTTGAGCCCCTTGCCTTGGAAAGTCACAGGCAAATGACCTTTGAAAAGTGTGTGTGTGTGTGTGTGTGTGTGTGTGTGTGTGTTTGCCACATGTATACAGGTACCCCAGGGGCTAGAAGAAGGCATTGGACCCTCTGGAGCTGGAGTTCCATGCAGCTGGGAGCCTGCTTCTGTGGTGCTGGAAATGGAACTCCAGGCTGCTGGAAGAGCAGCAAGTGCTCTTAATTGCGGAGCCACCCCTCAGCCGTCTTCCTGAGTGGGTCTATTAGAGGTGTAGGTGAGGCCTATAGTAACGAGACCTGTTCAACTTTGCTTGTCGCTAGGCCTTAAATTTATTTGCTTCTGCAATGTGTCCAAGAGTGAAACTGAGAAAAATCTTGATTGGTTAATTGACTAGAAGTCCACTAATTAGGATTCTCAATTACCCAGAAACATATCTCTTTATGATACATTGTGGGGAGAGAGGGGGAAAGACAAACGGCAAGTTAATAAGCTGATAATAGTTAAGTTAAAACAATGGCAAGAAATGGGAAGGGATTTTTCACAGAGCAGCAATTATATTATCCTCAAAGAATAAACAGGTTATAAAAATCTATTCAGAATACCAAGGAAATGCAAAATTCAGACAAAGGACACGAACAGTTTTAGGAATTGAAAATGAAATAGTTCCTGGAAACAAAACAGTGATCAATCAGAAGTATAAGACAAAATAACCAAGTCCATTTTTAATATGGCAAATGAATAAGATCAGGGATTGTCTATGTGGGTGAGGATACCAAGCCAAAAATGTGCATGCCCAATGACTTGGTCATGCCACTTCAAGGATGTAAACCAAAAAGAATTTATTAGCATAGGAGTGTAGCTCAGTGGTAGACCTCTTGCCTAGCAC